GAAAGAAAGAAAGAAAGAAAGAAAGAAAGAAAGAAAAAGTATGGGTAGAGAATGTTGCAAATGTAAAATACTAATTATGTAGAGTAATTATGTAGTTAGTGTAAAATAACATAAAAATATAATTAACTTACAAAAACAAACTAATAATATAAATAGGTTTAGTTCTTTATAATCCCAGAGAGTTTATATTCCTGTGTCGTAACACAGAAAATATTTTATTTTTGTGTGCAGGAGTGATAATTTGAATTCGGCAATGTAGTGAACTTGGTATGCATGGCTCATTATCAGTCATCTCTTTATTGAAACCATAAACACTTGTATATGACTTTTAAGTAAGATTTACCATCCTTGAACTCTCGTCACATCAGGAGACTTCTGAAAGTCCAATATCAGATAGATACGCAGCTGCTAAAGTCTGTCAAACAACGCATTCGACTTCGGTTCGGCTTGTCCAGATTTCGCCCGATCTCACACGAACTTGCTCGTATCGGTAATCGCGGGCTGTTTTGTGGGAGGATAGGACGTATAGTGGGTTATAATGACTGTACGTTCATCACGAAGTGTCTGATTTATCGTATCAGGTGCAGATTGATTTGATACCAACGGCCACAATATATAGTCAATCTTTCACTTCAGTGACAATATTGTTTGCGTTCTTTACTTATTGAATTCCATTCAGTACTCATAAAACCATGCCGCATTTTCGGCTCGAAACGAATGTGCCGAAGAGCAAAATTCCTTCAGGTTTTTTGAAAGAAACCTGCAAAGTGGTTGCAACGACTTTGGGGAAGCCGGAAAGTGTGAGTAGCTGTGATTTGATGATTTGAAAATGAATTTGAGATGTGATAAGTGGGTTCTAAACGTAATTGTTATTTTTCACAGTATTGTGTTACTACTGTAGTCCCTGATGCCATAATGTCTTGGGCTGGAACAGACGAACCTTGCGGAATTGCTACACTAATGAGTATTGGGCAACTGGGCACTGAGCAGAATAAAAAACATGCAAAAGTCTTGCATGATCATGTAGAGAAGTCTTTGGGTATTCCAAACTCAAGGTTAAAGACCTAGCCTTATTTCTGAAATATTGTGTTAAATTTTTGTTACTGACTGATTTTTCTTTAGGTTGTATATCCACTTTATTGATGCCAGTGCCGCTGATGTCGGATACCAGGCAACTACGTTCCACGAAATATTTAGTGGTAAATAATGGATTTTGGGTCTGCACAAATGCTTGGAAAATTTGAGCTTTACAGAATGCTTTTCATAAATATATATTAGCATCTGAAATAAAAAGGAAATATTTTTCTGTAATCATCTTTGTAACTTTCAAATGCATCATTATGTAAAGAAAATAAAAACTTTTTAGTATGTAGAAGTATTATTTTTATTTAAGGGTGAAAATTAAAGGTACAGAAGTGATCAAATACTGCAACTCTTGGAGCCTTTAATTAACTCTCCTAACACTAATAATAATAGAAATATTGGAATCCATAAACTTGCCATGATTTTAAGAGGGCAATACATTGGTGACATGCTTCAATAATCTCGTTTATCCAAATAAGTTTAATTTTTTAAGTACACGTCAGGGCAGTTGGGTGGTCTCATGTTGGCAACAAGACTGCATTGTAATACATGAAGAGAATCTGAATAAGCAGTGGAGTCTAGGTGTTAAAACACATTCTTACACTTTTTGTATTTGACAAATCATAATTTTGATCCAAGTTTTGATCCATAATTTTTTTAATTTACGAAATATTGTTCTTGAGTATATAAAAACTTAAAATGCACCACAACAGCTTTCATATGTAAACCCTGCTAGTTGTTTTGTAATAAATTGGCACGTTTAAGCAAAGTAGGATTTAGTGGCATATAAAAATAATAATATTTATTGAGTCACATATACAATTACAATCATGTATGACATGTCAAACATGATATATTTAGAGGGAGTACAATCACATACATCATCTTGGGACAAGTGAGTGAAGTTACATTTATTGTCCAGAAGCAAAACCAGGGTCCATCTCAGCATTTGCTCTAAGCACCGGGGAAACCGGACAAAAATCTGATCAAGATGGGGTCATTGGCCTAGAGTTATACTACAATACTTGTTACAGATATATTATGATATTACATAGTAGATAATTATTTTTAGTAGCTAATAGTTGAATATTTAACTTACATTATTTTAATTTAAAATACTTTAACATTTCAAGAAATGTTAACTTGTCATACATTTCAAAATATCATTTTCTTGGTATAGTAATTTTCTGATACTATTTATAATAATAACAAATATAATAGATAACATTTCTTATATAATAATAATAGTAATACTAACAGTACATGATAACAGTTATGGGAACAGCTACATATGATTTAACAGTATTAGCATATTCCTTGATTAAATCTTGAAATTGTGAGGAGGAGGCAGGTTATGGCCAGATTTTTTCCTATTTCTTCAACTAGTCCTACTGCAACACCTGAAATCATATTGCCTGTGTTAGTCATTGAGGTATTCCTGAATGCTATGAAAAACTTTTTTCCCAAGGAAGTGTTTGAGTTTTTTCTTGAAGTTGTACAAGTCTGTCTGTCATTTCTCAGATGTATTGGTAATTTGTTGAAAAATTGTGTACTTGTTTCTTATTATTATTCTAAGAGCATAATTAAGTTTGCTCAATTTTGAATGAATATCTTCTGGGTGTGATTTCCATTTGAGGTTGGATTGTATGGTGATTCCGAGAAATTTTGTTTTCTGTGCTTGTGTGATACTGTTTCCTTCTAATGTTAAATTTGATGAGCATATTGTGTTGAGTGGGAGTTGTGGAAGGGTATTTTTTTTTAAATAGTAATATTGTGATTGTTTTGTCTGGGTTTAGGTTTAGTTTGTTATGGTGTATCCATTGTACTAGCTTGTCGCTGTCTGAATTGTCTTTGTCTTGCAAAGCTTTGGTTGTTCTTCCTTTGAATATTATATTATTGTCATCAGCAAAAATTACGGTTTTGTTGTTTTCCATTATCGATGGCAGGTCATTTACATATATAAGAAATAAAATCAGGCCTAATGTGGATCCTTACGGGACTCCGTATATCACATCCCTTGGCTCAGAGTGATGGTTATTTATTTTGTTGTCTTTTTGGGAAGGTAATACTACAATTTGTTTTTTGTGTGATAGGTATGATTTTATCCAGTTGTAAGCAATTTCTCGTATTTTATAAGATTCTAATTTTGACAATATAATTGTGTGATCTATGGTGTCAAAGGCTTCTGACAGGTCGAGAAAGATACCAACAGGAATTTCTTTTTGCTCTAATACCATGAGGATTTCATTTACAAAGGTGAATAGTTTCAGTTGGAATTATTTTCTCTGAATCAATGTTGTGAGTCAGTGATAATGTTACAGTGTGTCAAGTAGTTTTTTAATCTTTCATAAAACAATTTTTCTAATATTTTTGAAAATTCTGACATGAGTGAAATTGGCCTATAATTCATTACATCTTGTTTGATACCTTTTTTGTGTATATATCCAGAGGATCCAGAGAATATTCTAGTGCTATTATAGGACATCGTTGACTAATATACATTTGATGATATAGATAAGAACAGATTGACCAGGGCTTCTCGCTAAATAGGGCTGAGCCTGGCATGCGAGGAGCAGGACGACGACCGCTGTGTTGAGGGAAGGCGTCGCGCAAACTCAGGCGAGCTAAACTGTTGCAATTGTTGCTCATAGCTTGTGTACTTGCTTCAGAAATTGAAGCAAGTATTCTAGAAGGTTAAAATTTGCTGTAAAACGATAAGCGAAGACAACTGCTTTGATATAACAAGCTTTACATCAATTATATTTATTAGTATAATAATTAAGTGGTAATAAAAGTTCACATTCCTAGACAGATGTCTAAATACGCAGTATTAATCAAAAAAAGTCCCAGTCATGCATTATGCATGGAAGACTACCAAAACATGCATTGAAAAGTATGCCTTTTTAAAATGATTTTACTAGGAAAGATATTTACAAAGCTCCAGGAAGTATAAATAGCATGTATTTGAATGAAAACTCTATCCCTAAATATCTTCAAATAGACACAACTTGCTTACCACTAACATTGTGTAAGAATAGCCAAGGTAATACATAACTTTTTTTCACATTTTACTCAGTCAAATTCATCTTTTTGTCAGAAATGAATGTTTTCAAACATTCTTTCTACATCACAAGTTATAATTGAAGCATACTTATAAAATGAAATCTGAGCCAGTGTGAGGTCAAATTCTGCATTTTCTGCTTTTGAGCCACAAATATTTTTACTTTTTGGTGAAGTTTCGGGCCAGGATTTGAATTTATCACTTTATATAATTTTTCCTGTCACACATGTCCAAACACTAATTTCGAGATACATATATATTTATTACATAACTTTCAATTATACACCCCAAGATCAATGACAATAATGCTTGCCAACATTACTTAAAGAATATTGTTTTATCTGTGTTACGTACATCCATTAAACCAATAATTTGAAGTAGAAAATATTATAACTGGGTTCTCTACTTTACATTTCAGAAAATCACTATTAATAGTAGAAAAAACCTGAAAAGAGTTAACACAATTTTGTACATAGATTTTCGTACATATTGTAATTAGATTGGAAGTATTGTACATGAAGTGTAGATTTTAACATGAAATAATGTGCATAACTAAAAATTCAATTTTTATTGGATTATAACACTTGAGGGTGTGACATGTGGATAGATTGTTATAGACTGTACCTGGCTTCCCTACACATGAATTTTCCGGAAACCTATCTAAATGCTATGCTAATAGATGTCAAACTGATGAATACATACGTATTGTGCAAAGTTTAACATGTTTTATTGTTTTTCTTAGCTAAATAAAAAATGTGAATATTAAATTGTAATAATTTGTAAAACATTATTAATTATATTTTAGTATATGTATTGCAATTAGTAGTGCTATCAGGATTTTTCTAGTGTGTGAAAATTATCAATGTTGAAATAATACATTCCTAAATTTTGTAGCGATCCAGAATGATATGCATTTAATAAAATAACTTGTTACCTGGAGAATGTCCAAATTTAAAATCACTTCAGAAAGGGGTATTATCACGGCTATCGGCTAGTGTTAGTTCTGTGCTTGAACAGGTGGCACTGAAATTAAAGCAAGCGGTGGTGGGGACCATACCATGGTGGGGGTAATAACATATTTCCACCAATTAGATGCACAGTACTATTTTGTACATTCCTTTTAACATAATTTAAAATTAATTTTAGGATTCTGTAGGAAATGTAGGATACCCTGCCATGGAAGTGACTAAGGATAACAAACAACTCAATAAAATTAAATGACACCGATTTATTAAAATTGAATTGGAAAAACAATGGTAAATTTTCCAGAAGAGATATACAAATTCTCAAAGAACAACAATTTTATTAATACTGATTTTGGAAATAATAGCAAAATATCACAAATTCACAACAATCATGTAGTTATTTCAATGAAATCTGAACAATAACTGAACATATTATCTATTATGAAAATACTTGATCTCAAAGTTTCTCTGGAAAGAAATCTCTTCTATCTATCAATATTGTTGATGTTCATATTGAAGTGATTAAAAATCCACTTGCTACTACGAACTACTGAAGTGAATGAAAACTACTTCAAGATATCAAAAATTTATAGTATTGATATTCCAATAATGTTTAACCGTATAGCGCTTCAAAGCATTGCAAAGCCATTACATGTAAAATTGCAAAAAATAACTAGTTGAACCTGACAATATTGATTTCCAAATTAATTATTAATAATATAACATTTAATTACTACCATCCAACTGAAACTTTACTGTCGATGACAACTGAAACAAGCAAAGACGCAGCTTTCTATTTCACTATTTAGCAATAGCATTTAACATTACATATTTAGTCGTGATTTCAATACTATCTTTGAAATTCTTATTTAATACGTGTACTTCACAAAACATTTTAATGGAAAAGCAATGCAATATGAACAATTCTTTAGAAGAATTAAAGTTTAATACACTGTACAAATTTGAAAAATAAACAATCTTTTCATATGTACCATTCTTTTTAGAATGTCATAAGATTGGTTGTCTTATTCAAAGTGCAATAGATTAATATCTAAAACAATAGCGTTTGGAATGAAAGTACCTGTATAGTTTTGTAAATTCATCTCTTCTTCCATTTCACACATCTTTTCTAAATTATTTTACACAACATTATCTTATTAATTTATTTGATAATTTTAATGTCTAAAACTGGATTATTGTTGCACTAATAATTTCCAATTTTCATTGTTTATTGAATTGAAGTCCAAGAAGCTAATAGTGACCTTTAAGCAAATTTTGAAAACATTTTTAAACTACTGTGTTCTT